GAAGAAGTCTTGCCAAAAGATGGAAATGCTTGTTAAACCCCTTGGGGGACCCAGTACACATCATACTAGGACCCAGTCAAGGCTTTGCAGGGTTATCAAATCAATGCAATTTTTATTTCTGTCAGTGCTGGCTGAAGCTCCATCCCAGGCTGAAACCCACTTTACAGACATTATGAGGAGGTTACAGTCAGCACTGAAGTCATCTCCCCCTCTTCACTATGCAGCCCCCTGCCTCCTCCTCTGGGCATAACAGGGTGCACAGGAGAGCCCCCATCCCCTCCTCTGAAAGCTCCACTATGCAGCCCTGTGCCTTCTCTAAATTCTTCTGCTTGCTTTCTGAAGTAACATGAAATACTGAGCCTGGACTTTGTGTCCACTATTCAGGGAAGCAATAACTGTCGGCTTATGTTATGAAAAAGTCAACAGCTGGAGAGGAGCGCCATCTTGAATGAACACACAAGCCCACAACAACACAAGCCAGCTAATACACTTGTCAACGTTAAGAGGAGCAGGTGTTGGAGGTTGTTTAGGCTCCAGCAGGGTCAACACACTAACAGCCAAAGGTCCACATGTGGTCACCGGACCACTGGTTGGGCACCAGGGTTTTATGACCTCTGACCCGGTCTCCCCATTATTAGAGAAACCCTAGAACACCGATCTCCTCTGATTAAACCTCATGGAAGGTCTCAGTTAGAAGGACTGCAGTGGAGCTGTGTGATAGGAATAAGCAATCCGCACACAAAGCTTCTACCCTGCCCCGGGCTCACACTTCTTATCACCTGCTCTGCTAACAACATTGCTGAATAAATGTAGTTATTCGGTAAGGAATGTACTAAACTATTTAAATCTTAATCTGAATTTTTTTTTCTAGCCTGAGGAGTTCACGCTGCAAGCAAGACAGAGAGGGGACCGGTGAGCACAAAATAATACAGCTTGTAATGTTTTCACGGTTCTTAGAAGATGGATCATAGAAATGGAATGTACTATATATAATAATCTCTCCTCGCCTCCCTTTTGCCCCTTTTTTCATAGGGGCGGCAGTGAGTGAATAGCCGAATGCCACCGAACAGAATAGCAAATAGTGAAAATAGTTTAAAAAAAAAAAAAAAAGGTTAAACAAATATTTTAAAAATGTAAATAAATAGTGACATTAAAAAATAAATAAAGATATTTTAAAAAAACAACAATTGGGACGGAGCTATCAGTGACAGCTAGCTCCGCCCAACTGTTCCCTATTGGCCGCCACCTGCTAGAGTCTCCGCCCAGCTGTCATTTGCGGGGCTTACGGACGGCCTTCGGTACTTGCACTGCTTGCATTTAGAAAAATATGTTTATTGATGTACTAATAATTACAGAGCTGCATTCATTTGTGCCTTTGATATCTCTGTAGAGTTCCTTCTGAACCTGAAATCAATGTGGTGAAATGACCTTAATGTGTCAGATGGCATGAAACACCCCCAAATGGCAGATTGATAAGCCAAGTCCCACTCCAAGGCCTACAATAAAAATGTTCAGTGATGCCGGGACCAAGACCCCAGCAACTATTCCTCTGGTTCATTATGTTCTTCAGATTCCACCTGTCGGGAATTACACGCTTACTCACTATACATAGTTACATAGTATTTGAGGTTGAATAACGACATTAGTCCATCATGTCCAACCTATTAGGATCTCATTCTAGGAGTACCTGTACCCCTGTATATGAGTGACCTCTCTAAATATAGTGGTACTAGACCTTGTCCACGGGTGGTCCTGCTGAGCACCTAGAGGCCCATGAGACATAGGGGCCCAGTCTACTAGGCACATTCACCCAGGCGAACCTTTTTTATCACTGCCAAGACCCTCCTCCACCAGACCACCACTCATTCCTGACCCAAACCAGTGCCATGTTTACACTCCCCAGGTAATGGCTGTTTAGAAGATTTTTCATGTCTAAACCAGAACTTATGGACGTGGCCTACAGCTTTACAGCTGCCACTGTAAATAGAGTTCCACCAAGCTACGATTGGCTTACCCATGCGGAGAGTCTTCACCAAACACATCACAGAAGCATGATAGTTTATAACGTTTATTCATTTGTTTTTGCTTAGGTCAACAGGTAAAAGGTCTCCAAGATCTGTGTTCCAAATAATGGCAACATGCAGTAGATACATCAGAGCTCTCGTATATCTAGTCCCACTGTCGGGTGTCCAGGAGGGGTGCTGCAGTACTCATGAAACTGTTTCTCCTCTCTGATCCCATCTAAGGGTTCGGATACATTTCCCAGAGAGGAAAGCGCAAGAACACACCACGTGGCCTTGTTTCTGCCTATCTATGCATGTGTGCTCTTCCCTTTTCCCAAGACCACTCCTTCCTTAAATACTCCGCTCTTCCCTATCATGAGTGACAAGGGCCGTAACACTAACACAAGTAGTCCCGATAGGGAGCGTCTCGGCCTTTTGTTAAAGATCAAGTGTAGCATCTGTTCTTGTCAGTTTTTGGGGAAGAAAATGCTGTCCTTGAACAGTGTGATGGCAGTCTAGTATTCCCTGGAGTAATAGTTGGGTCCTGGGGGGTTTCCTTTCCTCTTGGGTTGATCCTAGCCTGGTGAACCAGGCTTGTCCCCAGTTGTAAGCAAGAACCCCTCTGGTGCTAATGCCTTCTGGTATGAATGGGGCTGCCTTTGTCTGGCTATGGGCTGGAGGCGCAAGGAGCTCCGGGTTTTGGCCCCTGGGGTTGGTGTCCCAGGGATGCCAAAGAAACACAGTGGGTATTTGACCCCACAGTGTGGCACCTGGCACTAGGTCACGTCACCATATTGCTTACACATCTCTTAGGCAGGCTTCCTGGCTAGTATGGAGGAATTGTTATGGTGGCCACAAGGCCTGCCATGTCCTATGCATGGCACTTTATTTATTTATAGCACTTATTTTTTTGCACGATCACTTTCACTCCGCAGGTGATGGAGGTTTCAGGTCTTTCAGGGGCCTTCCCTAATGTCGGGTGGAAGGATCTGTAGCCCTAATGGGTCTTTTTTCTTCCCACACTTAGGGGTCTTTCTTCGGGAGAGCCCCTACCTAGTACTTGGTGGACTGTCTTTGGTTGGTCCCTGAGGATTGGGGTCCATCTGGCTTAACCGCGAGGTGAACTAGAGTGCCTTGCCCCTTACAGGAGGGGGGATCAGGGATATCGTGGCCCTCTTTTTCAGAAGATGACCAAGCACCCTCCTACACTTTTATTGTGTGCAGAGATTTCACTGTTCATTTTTCTGTTCACAGGGGTTTTGTTTATGATGCACTCACCGCGGAGCTTTAAAAAAAGAAAAATAGGGAGTTTCACCCTGCTACAGACATGTGATTAACATTTTTAAAAACTGGATTTCCATTCCATATTTTGATTGGCCAAAAACAACAATAACATTCACTAGTCATAGCTAGCTTGTATATTTTTGATTTCATATAAATTTCATATAAATAAAAAGGATCCTTATGATTTTTGTTCTACTGTTCTGTTCCTAACTATCCATACCTAAAGTGAAACCATCAAATCATTTAAAACTACAATGCCTGGCCAAAATAAAAACCTTGAATGACCAAGTTTTCACATCAATGGATTTTTTCTTCCCTGATGGCACATTGCGCATATTCCAAGATGACAATGCCAGGATCCATCGGGCTCAGATGGTGAAAGGTCCAGGGAGCATGAGACATCATTGTCACACATGGATTGGCCACCACAAAGTCCAGACCTTAACCCCATTGAGAATTTTGGGATGTGCTGGAGAAGACTATACGCCGTGGTCCGACTCTCCCATCATCACCACAAGGTCTTGGTTAAAAAGTTAATGCAACTCTGGACCGAAATAAATGTTGTGACATTGCATAAGCTTATCTGAAGGACGCCACGGTAAATGTGCGCCATTATCAAAGCTAAAGGAGGTCCAATGAAATATTAGAGTGTGTGAGTTTTATTTTGGGCAGGCAGTGTATATTGGTAGCTAACAAGAGTGTTGATGATGAGGGTATTGGGGCATAATGGACATTCCATCAGGGTCTGTAGAACCTCCTGTACTACTGTGAACTTTATTTTTCTAATTAATAGTTCCATTTAGTATGAAACATACAAATTCAGATATTATTTCCTTCCCTTTCCTCTTTTTTTTCCCATCTGTCATGAAGTTTTTCCCCTTCAAGTAAAACTTGAACATGACAAGGTGACGATGGGAAGAATTTAGGGGCTGGGTCTGCATTGAGGTGGAACTTGGTGATCAGACACCACCTAATGAGGGGGCCGAGCAAGGAGGCTCCTGCTAAACTCCCAGCTCTGGCTATTAGCAGACAGGACAGAGCTGGATGTGCTGCTTCTGCTGCTGCTGAATTCCATATCCTGGGGGGACTCGACTCTGGCTCATACTATCACGAATGCCTAGTCTTTGCAGCTTGCCTTGTAGAAGGGAGGGAGAAGAAGTCAGTAGGGGAGAAAAGGGAATGAGAGAAGTCGGTTGTAAGCTTTGGAGATGGTGATATTTTGAGTCTCTAGCTCTGTCTAGAAAAGGTGCTGAGATTTAAAGGCATTTTTCTTGGTTACTTTTTGCACTTGATACATCTTTGGGGGGCATTAAAAGCACCTGTGTGTATTGAAGGTAGAGTAGTAACAGTAGAACTACATCCATAGCAATTTAGTCCAGAAATCTTCATTGATGGATAAAGGAACTGCCACCAGTAGCTCCTGAGACGTCTAGAGGTGGTATTGGACTTTTGTGTCTCTCTTGTGCTATGTAGAGTCCAGTGTCCAGAGTTTGTTGTATTTGGAGGGAGTTGTGGTAGATAGAGATAGATAGATAAATAGATAGATAGATAAATAGATAGATAGATAGATAGATAGATAGATAGATAGATAGATAGATGACAAGTTCATAAGCCAAGTCTATCCACAGGGCTCAAGATCAGGGTGGTGTTCGGTAGATATCTATTGGATGTACAAAGTGAAGTTTGAACATTAGGTCTAGGCTATAATTGAGAATGCCTCCTGTGTGGACCCTGCTCCCTTTTTTTTTTCTTCTCTCTCTCTCAACCTGCGCCGAACCTCGCATTGCCCGACGCCAGATCTCCAACTGCCCCAGGGTTTGTGAGCTGTCCCGGTGCTCACGTCCCCAGTCACCTTGCCAGGCGGGGGAAGTGAGAGACTCCTGCAGTTGCTGTCCGGTGTGCGGGGCAGGTGAGGGGGAGTCCTGCGGCCACCGTGGTGGAGCTCCATGTGGAGAGGGCCTGGAGTGTGTCCTGCCTGGGGTCATAGCAGCAGGCACAGCCAGGAGGAGGGTAGGAGTCTGCGTCTGCAGTACCAGCGAGCCGGTGTGTGGAAGTGACGGGAGGACCTACAGGAACCTGTGTCATCTGAAAGCGGAGAACAGACTGGCAAGGCTACAGAATTCCCCTCCTGCCATCCACATTCAGAAGGGGCCCTGTGACTCGGGTAAGGAGGATGATTTGGGGGGACAGTGGGAGAGTCACCAGGTTTCTATTGTGAGAAGGAAGGTACACAGCCTCACTTCTTCCTATCAACTCTGCTTTACCAAATCTGACCATACCTTTGCTTAATGTGCATGTAAAGCAATTTTTTTTCAGTTTTGAATAGAGTGGTGAGGGGGCTAGGCCCTCTGTCAGGTTTTTATTGCAAGAAAAGATAGCCAAAATGCCAAAGGGGAAGATATGGAAATTTACTGTAGTTCCAGAAAGATCAATATTTTGGGGACAAGGAGGACCCCGTCCTAGGGTAGCATTCTGTTCACTACCTTGAGAAAGTGGTCCTTTGTTCCCCCAAAACATTGATCTCTATGGAACTACAGCAAAGTTCCTTATCATCATCTTTGGTGTACTGACTGTTATCTTTTCTTGGATTTTCACGGTACCAACACCCCTCTTTGGAGCAATAAAAGTCAGTGCGGCATGGACTGCTGACAGAAGGCTCTCATTGCTGTCTATCCCCGCTGAAAAGGATCACCCTCACCCATTATTTGTCCTGGGAGCCATTGCCACCAGAACAAAAAAGGAAATCAAAAATTTTGTCCCAAGATCTGGAGGTGAGGAGAAGTCTTCCAGTGGGACAAATGAGCAAATGACAACTGTGAGTGAAGATTTCCCTCAATCTGGAGAGATCTCTTCTCACTTTCTGTTGTGTTTTTGAGTCAATGGGACTCCGGGAACCAGAAGAAAAACAAACTATATCCATAATTTAAAAAAAGAGCTCGGTCTTTATACATACTTTAAAAGTCAGAGTCACCATTGAAGTGCATTATGATGATACAGGACAGCCGAATAATTGCATTTTCCAGATAGTATTTATTACCCGTCTCCTTCAGATGTACTAATGAAGTCTCAGTTGGTAGCCATCATACTCAGAGAAATGTTTACCCGTCTCCTTCAGGATATACTTCATGAAGTTTCAGTGGAAATGTTCAACTGTTCAATTCCTGCTTCACGTTGGGGAACTTTTTGGGATACTTTATGTATCAAAGATCCTTGCAGAGAACTGCAACCAGCAGCAGCTGAACATTTTCAATGTGACATTTGCCTCCAGCTATCTAGAAAAAGCTTTACGACTTTGGGAAACAACCTTCCCTACCCGTAGATAAGAATATCTAAAGCTCATTGTGAGGAATACATGTTTTAATAAATAGGATGTCTTATGCTGAATCATATAAACTTTTGCATGCATACAGATAAGACTCAGAGTTATTTCCTAAATGAATACTTGCACTTATATTCAATATCAACCAAATACAATTGGCTTTTGTAATGTGACTTATGCTTCATAGACTGATTTATGTAAAGCTTCCCATACACAAACCTTCTGGTCTGCCTGAAATTCCTCCATCTATTGGTGGGAGCCCAAATCTGCAACTGCCCTGGCCATTCATAGTGATGGGCACATCTCGCAGTAACAAGGTGTTAAAGACGGTGCAGCCTATCATATCATTCATAGGAACTCTCTAGAATGATCACATCTTCGATGCCACCTGCATGATATCCAAGTGGTAGACTGTTGATTAGGAAAGTTGAGGAGAAAGGAGTATGCACTTGGGTTTTCAACATTTCTTCTCGGTATATATTGTGCATTTTAAATTACTGTATTTGTGCAATGTGTCAGAAAAATAACACATAACAATAGAATTATGAACATTTGATAGAGGTTCCCTTTGTACTTGATAGGTGAAACATTGTGTCATTACCATTCTCTGAAAGAGTTATAAATATGGAAAATAACTAGCTATATGTAAAGATTAATGAATATTTGGCACCGTGCTGTACTTTGTTATAGCTTGTAGGAAGTCTGTTTTAACAGGCTAAAAAATATGCAACATCATAACCCCTCATTTTAGGAAGTAGCATTCTCATTATTAAGATATGGTTCTACTTAAGGTACTTATTTGGAATCAGGTCATAGAAATTAGTCTATGCCCTTTTAGCACATCCTCTATGCCACCTGAAAGATATCCACCAATTATAACTATTTGGGGAGAGGGAATATGCACACAGATCCAAAGCAAGCCTTCTATGTTCATATCATGCTTATGTACGGTCATCTTAAAATTGTTGCTTTTGTGCAAGGTATTAGCACATAACATGTACATTTTACTGTTATAATAAGGGGAATGTGTTATTTCCGGACACATTGTAGAAATGCAAAACAAAATTATTTGACCTAGAATAGATATAAGCTCAGAAATAGATATGTGGGGTATGTAGGACACAGTAGATTTGATAATACATAAGATGTTTAGGGCCTTTGAAGATATCAGGAAGAAAGAAAGACAGGTTAGGTTGAGGTGGGCTGGACAAATCCCAGGAACCAGGTAGCCAATGCTCCTTAAAAATTATAGGGGACACCTAACTTACGGGGCTTTCTGTAATTGTGGTTAATGGAGGTAGCTCCTAAAAAATATCCTGCTTGCTCTTGGATTGGATGGACTGGCCACTGATTAATTTGTCCCATCCTGACTTAAAGGAACCATGTATGGTGAAAGACAGCAGTTCTTTCATGTAATAAGCCAGTATATATCTAAACCACAAAGGCTTCTGTCCTCCCCAACTGAGGGTCAACAAGATCTAGATAGAGTCTGGCCTTGTGAAATAGAGGTGGATTGATGCTAAGTGTATATTAGACCTTTGTGTCTTCTGAAACCAATGAAAAGCTCTGCTGAGATCAGGTTCTAAGTTTTACCTCAGTCCCATAAAAGTTAGCGGGGAAAGCCACCACAGGGAAATTCGGAAATCTTCAGCACCCAGGAGGAGAAAGTTTCAGATCCTGGAAGCTGATCTTCTTAGGACTTTTAAAGAATGGGAGCTAAGGTTGGGAGAGCAAAGATGAGAGCAACATGTTTTCTATGCAATGCACTGATGGTGGCCAACTTATCTAAAACCCGTATGAAGTTTTGAATGTAGGCTGTATCTGTCATTTAAACCACCAGTTGTGGATTGACGTTTGGTTCGGGGGCATAAAGCAACTATTTGCATGACTCCACCCACTGAATTGAGTAATAAACCCCATTATTTTTTCAATTCATGATGGAAGCAATGATGCAATTACCTTATGCTAAGGAGGACTCTGCTGTGCTTCCTAAAGATAACAGCTACAAGGTATGAATGAGTATATAGGTGTAACATCTCCGCACCAGTAGGACACACTGTGAATTTTCGTAACTGGCAGTTTGAGTTTCTGTGACATCTGGATCCTTGATAGGGAGGGGAGAATGGGTCAAGCTCAGAACAAAACCAAACATTACAAAAGCATATTTATAAATTCTTATTGCAGTATTGTTTTTGAGTAACGCGAAAAGATATACATACCACTTCTGGTGAGCGGCCCTTCCCAGGCTCTGCTATGAAATCCCCGGGTGCTGGTTGCACTCCAGCAAATCAGTCAGAAAGGAAAATGAATTACTACACTCCGGGATGCAGCAACTTTTCTTGCTTATTGAATGGTAGCGTTATTGAAAAGCCCTTTTCAACACGAAACATGTCAGAGGTTATCACGGTTACTATTCAATAAATAAGAAACGTAGAACATCCCACGCGCCCAGCCCGGACGAGGTGTTTCATTTCCTTTTTCTGAATATTTTAAAGTAATTGCCTTTAACATTTGCAGTTTGTTTCCTAATATAAGGCGCAGTTTGTTTCCTAATATAAGGCCTGAACTGCTTATAAGGGTTGGCGAGCTGTGGGACCTTGGCTGGGGAAGCAGAGTGTTCTCCTACTGTAGTTCCTCAAATGGAGTGAACCGATCCCCTGTGCAGCACAAACACTGGAGTGATCGTCTGATTTGAGTGATTTACATCACTTCCTGTTCATTCATTAATTTCTGAGTGGGGAGTAACACTTACTACAGAGGCTTCTCCCCATTCATAAACTGGTAATAGTAAATATTTTACTATCAGTTTGTGAATGAATGGGAAGCCTCTGTACTTAGTGCTACTCCCCACTCATTTATAACAGAGGATGCTGAAAATGAGATTGGGGACTTTGTGTCCTCATTTTCTTTTGTAATTTCAAAGGTAAATGTCAGGGGTCTTTTTATACCCCTGATGTTGCCCCGAAGCCCCCCAACGGTAAAAAAAAAAAAGTAATAATAAAAAAATGTAAAAAATAAAATAATAAACAGTGAATGAGTAGAAAACGTAAGTATGTCCAGTTTGGGAAAATAATGTATTAGAGGCAACTTAATAAATGTGTTCACATACAGTATATCCAAGGTCAGTATGATGATTCAGCAAAAAAAAAAAAGGTTTTATCCCGGGAGCTCAAAGATAAGGGGTCATCAGTCGTATATGGAAGATGTTTCCATCATTCTAGAAAGAGGTTCCTTACACCAGCATTTCTTAACCAGGGTGCCGTAGCACCCTGCGGTGGCATCTGGCTTCCTCAGGGGTGCCTCAAAATCATGTCTAATCTTGGTAGGACACTGATGTGATGAGGGGACTGAGGACTCTGATGTGAAGGGGAGACTGAGGACTCTGATGTGAAGGGGGGACTGAGGACTCTGATGTGAAGAGGGGACTGAGGACTCTGATGTGAAGGGGGTACTGAAGACTCTGATGTGAAGGGGGGACTGAGGACTCTGATGTGAAGTGGGTACTGAGGACTCTGATTGGAAGGGGTACTGAGGACTCTGATGTGAAGGGGTACTGAGGGCTCTGATGTGAAGGGGTAATGAGGACTCTGATGTGAAGGGGTACTGAGGACTCTGATGTGAAGGGGGGACTGAGGACTCTGATGTGAAGAGGGGACTGAGGACTCTGATGTGAAGGTGGGGATGGGGACTCTGATCTGAAGAGGGGACTGAGGACTCTGATGTGAAGGTGGGGATGAGGACTCTGATGTGAAGGGGGAACAGAGGACTCTGATATGAACGGGTAATGAGGACTCTCATGTGAAGGGGGGACTGAGGACTCTGATGGGAAGCGGCACTGAGGACTC